CCTTCAAAGTAATCACTTTGGGAGTGACTGGGTCTTTTTGAGGCAGCTGGGTGATGTAATAGGTAGAAGGCTGGGCCAGGGGTTAGGAAGACTGAAAATCAAATCCAGCTCCTTGATGGTACCTTATGTTACTTCTTATGTATCTTTGGAAAAAAATTGCCTTAAAAGTAGGGTTATTTGGTTTAGGGGAAAGAACAATAAGAGATGATACCTCATAGTATCTTCATGTATGTAAAGAAAGATGATATTATATCATCATATGGAGAATGATGATCTCCATTGATCATTATTTCTGCTGAGGGTATTTTTAGCAGTCAGAGTGGATTTGAATTATATTAATCAAATTTAATTCAACTCAGCAAACATTTATTAAGCAACTATTATATGCAGGGGACTTTGAAAATAAGATAAATTTATATTAACCCTCAAGAAAAGTATCTTGACATTGAGATGATTTTACCTTTATAATGATGATTATGATGTCAATTTTCAGAAGTTAACTGGGGATCATTCCTTGAAGGTTATAAAGGTTACTTGAGGCAGTACAATTGTGGAGCATTTCCTGAGGGCAAGAGTGTGCATTAAATGACCTTCTGAACTACTTTTGAACTCTCTTATTTGGTAATGATAGTAAATCATAATTCATCTTCACAGCCCACATAACCAAGTATAACAAAAGGTCTTCCAGAAGGCTGCAGGCATGGTTATTTATGAAGAAATCACATCTATCTGTGGAATAAAATGTCATAACAAGTGCCAGAAGTGACCTCTGCCTTCCTGCAGGAATGTTGTGGCACACCCACTGATACCTATTTGCTGAAACTTGACCCAATGCCCTATTTAGAATGTATATAACTATTTACTGTTGCCTAATGTTAACCTAATATTGCTAAGGTAGTTTTCTTGTGGATCCTCAAAGTGCTGCATAAACAGTCATTATTTATTTTTATTCATGTCAGATGAGATTGGACACTACCTCCATTTTCCCAGAAACCAAATGGTGTTACAGAGGGGCTAAATTATTTATGCAAATCCCAGTTACCTTCTGAAGGATGAAGAAATGAAAAAAAAAGTGGAAGACCAGGTCAGAGATGGAGAAGCACCATGATGGACTAGGAAAGCTGAAACAAATTAAAATATGCACAGTGAATACAGAAGGTGCATTGGAGACATCCTAAGAAATGTTGTGTGTGGTGCAAGAATTGAATATGGTGTGGCCCATTTCCCCTTATATGCCCCCCAAAAGCCAAACAACCTACTGAATCCCTTTCCCAGGTCATCCAGGCAACTATCATTTTGGCCTGCATTAACTGAATTTTAAAAAACCTGGAATCCTTTGACCAGGGTGGAAATTTTACCCATTATCTCTATTTATTAAAATGCTTCTTCTAGTAAAGTCTTTCTTGATTCACCATGGCATGAGGTAACCCTAGATTCTAGGTTCTTGAAGGCTATGTTAGCAGATCACTGGCTTTGGAAGCCCCCACCAAGCTGGAAAGGCTTTGAGTATGGGTAGTGGTGCCTTGTAACAACTCGTTCTCCAAAATAAATAAACAAAAAATGTATGCAGGACATATTTTAAAATTTATTCTACAAAATTAACTTTTTTTCCCATCACTTTCTTAAGTCTGGACAATCAACAAAAAAATTAATTAAGTCCTGATTTGAAGTGTTTGCTAATTTCCAATATTTAAATGTTCACATTGAAAATTTCATGCAAATCAAAACAACTCTGAGCTACCACATCACACCTATCAGATTGGCCAACATGACAAAACAGGAAAATGATAAATGTTGGAGAGGATGTGGGAAAATTGGAACACTAATACATTGTTGGTGGAGTTGTGAAATGATCCAACCATTTTGGAGAACGATTTGGAACTATGCCCAAAGGGCTACAAAAATGTGCATACCCTTTGATCCAGCAATAGCACTTCTAGGGCTATATCCCAAAGAAATTAAACAAATGGGAAAAGGACCCACATGTACAAAAATATTCGTAGCAGCTCTTTTTGTGGTGGCAAAGAACTGGAAATTGAGAGGATGCCCATCAATAGGGAATGGCTGAGCAAGCTGTGGTATATGAATGTAATGGAATACTATTGTGCTGTAAGAAATGATGAACAGGCTGACATCAGAAAAACCTGGAAAGACCTATGTGGTCTGGTGCTGAGTGAAGTGAGCAGAACCAAGAAGACTTTGTACACAATAACAGCCACGTTACGTGATGACTAATATTGTTAAACTGAACCCTTCTCAGCATTTTAAGGATCTAAGACATCTCCAGAGGCCTTGGGATGGAAAATGCTGTCCACATCCAAAGAAAGAACTATGGAAGATGAATTGCTATCACTTATTTTTAACCTTCTGTTCAGTTTTGTTTCATCTTTCTGATGATTCCTCCTATTGATTTTAATTTTTACTTGCAACTTCACTAATGTGAAAATATGTTTAATAGGAATGTAAATGTAAAGCCTATATCACATTGTGCACAGTCTTGGGGGGGGTGGAGGGGAGGAAGGCGGAGAAAAATTTTCAACTCAAAAGCATATGGAAGTGATTGTTGATAAATCAATAAATTAATAAAATTGGAAAAAATAAATAAAAAAAAGAAAAAAAGAAATTTCATAATTAACCTTTTACAGTTTCAGATTGGTTCTAGCATACCCGTGAATATGGCCCTGGAAAAGGAATGTATGTTTACTGTCCAAGGATATCAGCACCTAGCATGGTGCTTGGCATCTAGTAGGCATTTAATACAGGCTTGTTGGTTATCTGATTATTGATTGATGACCAGCCTAGCAGAGAGGCTTATCACCAGACTGTCTGCTGGGTGATAAATTTTTTAATTCGTAACAGCTCTTTAAGACCCATTTACCAAAGGGTTTGAATTTTTATCAGTGGAGCAAATATTCATGCTGAAGAAAGCATATATCCTTGAAATATTGAATTATGAATACCCTCAAGGGAAGTAAATGGGTCAGATTAACCATGTGTTTCGGGTAGGGTTTAATGGGCATTGAATTAAAATTAAAAGTTTACTTAATAAGTGTGGATTTACAATAAGGGGAGTTAGAGGGATGCCTTTATCAGCTATAATATCGTAATGAAAATAAGTTACCTTTTTTCCCAGTAGTAATAGCCAGTTGAGTCTCGTGACAACTCTATGTGGTAGAAGGACAAATATTATTTCCCCCCTCTTCACAGATAAGGAGAAGCTCAGAGACATAATGTGATGGGCAGAAATACAGCTGGTGACTGGCAAAGCCAGGTTCTGAATCCAGATCTTCTGAATTCAAGTCCATGGCTTTTATATACCAGTCAAGTGGGCCAGATTGTAATATTTGAGGCACTCCTTCCTCAGTATAATAATGATATTATTCTTTTACAATTTTCCTTTAAAAAAAAACTCTACACAGATCATCATCTTCCTTTTTGCCTTTGCCTTTATAGCATACTCCTATTCCTATTTCAACATGCTCTCATAATATGTAGCATTTCCCATTTTACATCATAAGTTTAATTGATTAATTTTTTAATTGACTACTCTCTGATTCCCTTTAAGCAGTTATGTATCTGTAGTTCACACTGGCAGGCATATAGCTGCTGAAAACCTTTCTGATATTTCAAATCCTATATGTGGAACATGGATTCTTATAAGCTCTAGACTCAGAGGTTGGCATTTTCTGACCTCGTCTCTAGGTTTGGGGTATGTGTCATTCTCTCATGGGTCTATAGACCTGTTCTCAGTGACTATAACCTGTAAGATAGTGACAAATGGGGAAATATTAAAAATCTACTCATTCAACTTGGATATGACCAAAGGCCCGAGAGCAAAAGAAATGTTAGGATGACCATTTCATTTTTCATTGGTTATTCAATCTACTTGCCTTTTCAAGTTGTACTCTATTTGACCTACAGCAGGTGCAGGATTTTTCAAGATGTGGCAAATGCTAGCCAATGTATCATTGGAAAATATTACGTGTTTGTAAATTAACTTGAAATTCCCCAGCTCCACTGTCATTGGCACATCTGGACAAGCAAATATGGACTCAGCTTCGTGATTTCAATTTACCAAAGTTTTTGAAATGCTGGAAAAATTTTCGTTGTGGAAAAAAAATTAACACACATCCTCAATTACCACTCAGTCATTTGGAAAGTCCTTGCCCGGCAGCTGGATCGTATCATGTTTGCTTCATATTTGGGCTGGGTAATTAAAAAAACCCTGGCAGAAAAATGATTGTTAGACCTCCATAGGTGAGATGAACTTGTAGACAGACTCCCAGGAGATGATCTAGCTTGCAGATACTTCTCTTGCTCTTGTGGACTGCATGTAATACTTGTGTTTTTCATCAGGCCAAGCTCCCTCATCAAGTTTGACTCTAGAAATGGTCCACCTCAGTTAGCAAAAAAAAAAAAAGAAAAGAAAAAAGAAATCAAAGGGTGCATTGCTTTGCTATTGCTCTGTCCCTCAAGGAGATGGGACCTTATTTAAATGGAACCCCAAATAGATTCTACTTGAAGGTCATGCATGAGAAAGGACAGAGCTCTATTTTCATTTACCTAATCTGAAAGTGTTGTGAATGCTCTTGGCCTTGAATGGGTAAGAGCACAAACAGCATGGGGGTAAGGTAAGAAAAATATGCCAACTATTTTGCTGTTTGGCCTCTATAAAAGGATCAGTAAGACAAAGGATTATCTGGTCTTTCTTCTCTATATACCTCTTGCCACTCTCTCCCTCAGAATAAAGGACTAGATGGAACCCAAAATGTTTGTGTTTCTTTGTGCTTTCCTTTCCTGGACTTACCTTCTGCTCATCTCTGTCCATCCTCTCCTTTACATCTCTAGAGCCAACCTTCTTCATAGACTCCTTGCAGAGGTAATGGGCAGCTCTTACCATATTCCTAGTTTGTTTCTCTCCTCTGCCTCCATGAACAAAAAGTAAATGCTTGTTCTTTCTCAGGCAATATCTGAATGCTTTCTCTCAGCTGCCCCAGAGTTCAAGACATGTGAAGAAAAGGAACTCAGACCCATAGGGAAGAGACTCCAGAACATGCAGTCCTTCTTTGGATTGGCATGAACTGACCAACTCAACAAAGAAGCTTTAGATCTAATGAAGCAGCCAAGATGTGGAGTCCCTGATGTGGTGGGATATAATTTTTTCTCAAAGAAAATAAAATAGCTGATTCACAGTTTGATGTACAGGTAAAATGCCTTAAGTTTTTTGTTTGTTTTTCTATGCAAAATCTATAGCATTATGGTAGCCAGCATGATGATTTTTTACAGTATACCTTCCTGGGTTTTAAGAGGTTGTCTGGTAGAGAAGAAAGAGGAGTAGACTTCAAGCCAGAAGGTCTAGTCCTGGTCTCTGCTACTAACCAGCTATATGACCTTGGACAAATAATTTATACTCTCTGTGACTTAGTTGCCCTATTTGTAAAATTCAGGGGATTGGCCTCAATGATCTGTAAGGTACTTTTCAGCTTCAAATTCTTATTTAATATTTTTTCCAATTGCATGTAAAAACAATTTTAACATTCTTTTTCTTTTTCAAATTTTGAGTTCCTAATTTTCTCCTTCCCTCACTTCCTTTGCCATTGAGAAGGTGAATAATTTGACGTGTTATTCATGTGTAGTCATCCAAAATACATTTCCATGTAAGTTATTCTGTGAAAGAAAACACAGACAAAAAACCCTAAGAAAAATAAAGAAAGTGAAGAAAAAGTATCTTTGACTTGCATTCAGGCTCTACCAGTTTTTTCTCTAGAGATGGACCCCACCTTTCATCATAAGTCCTACAGAATTGTCTTGAATCATTGTATTACTGAGAATAGTTAAGTTATTCATAGTAGATCATTATACAATATTGCTGTTACTGTGTACAGTATTTTCCTGGTTCTGCTCTTTTCACTTTGCATCAGTCTGTGCAAGTCTTTCCATGTTTTTCATCATTTCTTAAAGCACAAAATTATTCCATCACAATCATATACCACAACTCATTCACCCATTCCCCAATTGATGGACATCCTCTCAATTTCCAATTCTTTGCCACCCCTAGAAGAACTGTTATAAATATTTTGTACACATAGGTCCTTTTCCTTTTTGTTTTTTATGTCTTTGGGATATAGACCTCATAGTGGTATTTTTTGATCAAAGAGTATACATGATTTTATAGCCCTCTAGGCATAGTTCCAAATTGTTCTCCAGAATGGTTGAATCAGTATACAATGCCACCAATAATACATCAATGTTTTAATTTTTCCCACATCCCCTCCAAAATTTGTCATTTTCCTTTTCTGTAACAGCCAATCTGATAGGTGTGAGGTAGTGGTTCAGAGTTTTTTTAATTTGCATTTCTCTCATCAGTTGTGATTTAGAACATTTTTTTTATTTGACTATAGATAGCTTTGATTACTTTGTCTGAAAACTGTCTGTTTATATCCTTTGACCATTTATCAATTGAAGGACTCTTATTTCTATAAATTTGACTCAGTTTTCTTTATGTTTGAGAAATGAAGTCTTTATCAGAGAAACTCACTGTAATTTTTTTTTCATAGTAATGATTCCCAACTATGTATTTCCCTCCATTCTATTTCCCCCCTGTTTATCCTACTCTCTCTCTCTCTCTCTCTCTCTCTCTCTCTCTCTCTCTCTCTCTCTCTCTCTCTCTCTCTCTCCTTTTACCCTGTCCATTCTCAAAAGTGTTTTACTTCTGACTTTTATCTCCTCTAAGTTGCTCTCCCTTCTATCAGCTCCAACCTTCTTTTATTCCTTTCCCTTCCTACTTTCCTGCATGATAAGATAGATTTCTATGCCCAACTGAGTGTGTATATTACCTCTTTGAGTCAATTCCAATGAGAGTAAGATTTAGGTGCTCCCCTCCTCACTCTCCCCATTTTCCTCTCCACTGTAAAATCTCTTTCAGGCCTCTTTTATGTCAGATAATTAATCCCGTTCTACCTCTCCCCTTCCCCTTCTCCCAGTACATCCTTCTTTCTTATCCTTAATTTTTTTTAGATGATACCATCACATTCAACTCACACCTCTGCTTTCTGTCTATGTATACTCCTTTTTAACTGCCCTAATGGTAAGAAAGTTTTTAAGAGCTATAAATATCATTTTATCATGTAGGAATATAAACAGTTTAACCTTATCAAGTCCCTTATGATTTCTCTTTCCTGTTTACCTTTTTATGCTTCTTTTGCATCTTGTATTTGAAGGTTAAATTTTCCAATCGGCTATGGTCTTTTCATCAGGAGTTCTTGAAAGTCCATTTTCATTGAATGTCCATTTTTTCCCCTGAAGGATTGTACTCAGTTTTGCTGGGTAGGTGATTCTTGTTTGTAATCCTAGCTCTTTTGCCCTCCAGAATATCATATTCCAAGCCTTCTGATCATTTAATGTAGAAGCTGCTAAATCTTGAATTATTTTGACTATGGCTCCATGACATTTGAATTGTTTCTTTTTGCTGCTTGTAGTATTTTCTCCTTGATCTGAGAGGTCTGGAATTTGGCTATAGTATTTCTGGGAGTTTTCATTTTGAGATCTCTTCCAGTAAGTTATCAGTGGATTCTTTCAATTTCTATTTTTACCCTCCAGTTCTAGAATATCAGGGCAGTTTTCTCTGATAATTTCTTGAAAAATGATATCTAGGCACTTTTTTTAGCCATGACTTTCAGGTAGTTCGAAAATTCTTAAATTTTCTCTTCCAAATCAGTTGTTTTTCCTTTGAGATATTTCACATTTTCTTCTATTTTTTTCCATTCTTTTGATTTTGCCTTATTGTTTCTTGATGTCTCATAAAGTAATTAGCTTCCACTTGCTCAGTTCTAACTTTTAAGGAATTATTTTCTTCAGTGAGCTTTTGTACTTTCTTTTCCATTTGGCCAATTCTACTTTTTAAAGAATTCTTTTACAGTAAATTTTTATATATCTTTTCCCATCTAGCCAATCCCACTTTTCAAGGCATTCTTCTCTTCTTTGGATTTTTGTGCCTCTTTTACCATTTGGACTATTCTGTTTTTTAAAATAGTTTTCTTTATTTTTTTTGTGTTTCCTTTACCAAGCTGTTGACCCTTTTTTTCATGATTTTCTTGCAACACTCTCATTTCTCTTCCCAATTTTTCCTCTGCTTCTCGTTTTATTTTTTTAATCCTTTTTGAGCTCTTCCATAGTCTGAGATCAATTCCTATTTTACTTTGGGACTTTGGAAGCAGAAATTTTGACTTTGTTGTCTTCTTCTGAGTGTGTGTTTTGATCTTCCTTGTTGCCATAGGATATGTTCAGAATTTTTTTTTTCTGTTTGCTCTTTTTCTAGTCCATTTCTTGACTTTTAACTCTATGCTAAAGTGCTCTGCTTCCCAAGTGGAGGGGACACTATCCCAAGCTTCACGTTTTTTGTGTAGCTATTTTCAGAGGTAATTCTAGGGACCCATAAGTGTTTGGCTCTTCCAAGGTGGTATAATCTAGGGACAGGTGTGTTTACTACTCTCCCGGCCTGTGCTCTGGTCTGTGAGTGACCACAAGCATTCTTTTCAACCCTGGAAATATGACCAGGCTCCCTGCTCCACTGTAGCTGCAAAGCTGTGCTGTGTTAGTGCTCATCCTCGCCCTGGGACTAAGATCCAGGACTGCAACCCAGATCCAAGTATATGTAATGCAACAGAGTCCTGCCCCTGGTGTCAGCAAAGTGACCCCTATAAATCTCCTTCTGACCCATTGTCCAATTCCCCTACTGTCTGTGGGCTGAGAGGTCTGGAAACCCCCACTGCTGCCACTGATTCAGTCACCAAGAAGCCTGCTTCTGGTTTGCTGGGTCCCAGTCTAAGCTGGCAGGCCTACTTGGACTGTTCTCTTAACCCTGGTACAGACCTTTCCTACAGGCCTTCTCAGTCCATCTTTTTGTGAGTTCTACCACTCTAAAATTTTTTAGGGTCATTATTTAAAGACATTTGGAGGGGTTTGGGGAGGGCTCAGTCAAGACCCTGCCTTTAATCACCCCCTCAGCTTCAAATTTGATAATTTTGTTATTTTCCCCAAATTGCATTCTTTTACATAACAAATTTCATTTGGTCTCTTTCTATGAGTTGTAGCACTGATTAGCAATTTAGTTATAATAATTTTTAGCTTTCCTAAAATTAAAAAAAAAGACTTCAGAAAGACTTCCTAAAATTTGGAGAAGCATTATAGAGAACCAGTTGTTTTACTTATCTTTCCCTTTCAGTAACATTTATCAAAAATTTGGTTTGTTGAAAGGCACGTGGTATTAGTAGTATTTCAATCAGATTTAGCCTAATTTAATTTCCCTTTCAACACAGGAAATTTGGGAACAATAAATATTTTCCTCCTGTCATAGGGAAAAATGTTCTTTGTCATCTAAAAATTCTAAGTATTCTGCCCAACATTCAGGGAGTGTGATCTCATGCCGCATAAAGTGGATGATTGCAGCTTGAATAAGGCAGGCAGGAAATCTGTGGAAAATTGATTGCCTCAGATCCTTGCTTCATTATGATGTGGAAAATATCCTTAGGGGTTATCTACATTAATGAACTTCATTCACAAGTTATTTAATAATTAATCTGAAATCCCCAAATTCACAATTTGTGATAATCTAGATATGGCATATGTAATTCAGTAAACATTTGGATATATTTACCCTGTATTCTTAAAAAGAGTCTGTCACATAACACATAAGGAAGATGCCAGTCTAAAGTGAATAGTCTTTTCAGTGGAAAGAGCACTGGATTTAGAGTCTGGGTTTGAATCTCATACTACTTAAGTGACCTCAGGCAAGTCACCTAACCTCCATTGGCCCAGATAACCATTAAGTTCTTTTCTTGCTTTGGACATGGGATCAAGTAGTCCTATATATATTTTTAAATAGTGTATCTTCAACTTTTGGGTTTCACAATAAATTCTCTTCTACAATGTAAAACAGGGTCATTGTGAATTATGATTTTTTTTTTTACTCATTTAGGGCTAATCTAGGGCTCTTAGTTCTTAATATACACTGTGCATAGATGTAATAAAATGGTTTCTTTTCTTTTCTTTCTTTTTTATTTTTTTGGTGAGGCAATTGGGGTTAAGTGACTTGCCCAGGGTCACACAGCTAGTAAGTGTCAAGTGTCTGAGGCTGGATTGGAACTCAGGTCCTCCTGACTCTAAGGCCAGAGCTCCATCTACTGCGCCACCTAGCTGCCCCAATA